TGTGCCCATCCTCTCCCCCAAGGGGAGGGGGGGGGGGGGCGTGGCTGGGGACCCGGCTTTTAAGCTGGCTCCCCCAGCACTGGCTCCTGCTTCCCTCCCCCCTTGTGCCTCTGATTCAGAGGCAGCAGGGGGGTGGGAATGCAAGTAGTCAATTAGATTAACGAATTAGCCTAGGCTAATCAGTTAATCAACTACTCGTTCAAATCCCTAGAGGCAATACAGGCAGATTCAGCATAACCCTGAACTGGCATTTGAATGCTGGAGTCCCCTGCTTAGTAAGCTCAAGCTGCCCCTCCTACTTAGTGGTCAGAGACTACATTGGCTGGATCAGTTGCAGGTAGGCAGCTGGGGGCGCTTGCTTCAACCCCAGCAGCAAGCTGGCTGACACCAGCCCCACAGTCCTGAATTGGTCTGTCCTTGCCACCAAAATCAGGGAACCCATGGGTTTTATGGGTCTCAAAGGCTGATGCTGAATCAGTCTAGGAGAGAATGGAACAACTGCAGGTCTTCAGGAAATCACTAGTGACAAACTGTTGGCCCTTATAGACAGTTCCAAGGCCCTTATAGACAGGGGCTCAGCTCGTTAAAAATGTTTCCCTTCGTAGGTCACCACTGTGAGAGTCTTGATTATGCTTAGCCATCCCCAGGATGGCTGACTCCTTTCAAATGGGTGTGGTGCTTCATCTTGCTGTCAAAAGCAATGGTGACCTGGTGCATCAAACCTTAATGGTGGGAGCTAGATATCCTGTCGCTGTGTGGTCTTGACCATGTAACTTCACCGTGCCTCAATTTCCCTATCTAAAATGAGAATGGAACCACTTACTTCCCTGGGAGACTACTCAGGGCAACTCGAGTGTACGTAGTGCTTAGAAAATAACTGTGGGGAATTTTCTTGCTCTTCTTTGCTGTGCAGTTTGGCTTCCATTACAGCTAGAGTCATATTAGTTACAAGCTGTCTATTAATCATGTACCTGCTATGGTCCTGTTTGTGCAGTTTCTTTACACGTCGAAGCACCTCCCAGTGTGGTTAATACCTTTAGTCTCCTTCCAGGTAGAAGGTCCTTGGTGAGCATTTAACACTGTAGAACACAGTGTTTTGCCTGCAGAAAGCATACCTCTAGTCCATTTCTAAATAAACAAGCTTCTTACTGCCTATCTGACAATCTGAGTCCTGACCTGCATAGTTTCTCCAGGCTTCTGCCATGTCAAAACACTTGTCAGCTCATTCCACCTTTCCTGAACCTTACCCTGGTTTGCAGGGATGTGAAATCCTTGGCTTGTGGTCAGTTTTTAGATTCAGCAAACATCTGTTTACAAACTTAAGGGTACTTTCCTGCTCAGCTATCCTGAAAGGATTACCTGGTGGTGTGCTCTCATTCTCTAGTGTCGTGCAGAACTTTTTAGTTGCAGTAAAATTTATTTGGGACTGTTGGCAGAATTCAGACTTCATGGTTCAAACAATGAATGCTTGTTCTACACCCTACACTAAGAGAATTAGGAATAAAGCCAAACCCAAGATCTAGATTGTGTTTTTGATAACCAATGGCTGGATGGAGGCATGAAAAGAGCCAAAAATCTTCAGTTATGTCCTGCATAACACCACTCGGAATTTGTTTGGTGACATCAGTAACTTATGTTCTGAATTCTGCTGAGTGGCTGATCTGTGTTGGGGAGTGAAGGGCGCCTTTCTGTCTGGTTGATTCAGATTAACGTTATCAGAGGGAAATGAGCTTCTCTGGTACTTACCCTGCTATGTCTGTCCAGGTATAAATCCACGAGTGAAGTCGGGGCGTTTTATGAAAATCCTTCCCGACTACGAACACATGGAGTACAGAGATGTTTACACCTGCCGTACGTACCTCCATTAGCAAACGCTTTCTGCACTGAGCACGCACGTGGCACTGCATGGCGTGTGGAGTTACTGCAAACAAACTGCCTTGGGAGCAGAATATGGAGACCTGGTCACCCAGGCTTTCCCATGACTTGGTTCTTAGGAACTTTGAGGTGATGCCTTAGGTAGCGTGGCCAGTTGTAACCTAGGGGGAGTAGTACTCACCCCTCAGAGGTGCTGGAAGAGCATCCTCTTGATGTTTTAGACTGGTAGAAACTAATTAGGTACAGGGAGCAGATGCTTTCCAGAGCAGTGGGCTTGCGTGTGCTTTGGAGAGGCGGAAACTACTCACATTGCTCCTGAGACCAACTCTCCCCAACACTATCCAGCCCCATAAATGACACTATTAGGCTCTAGCTGAGTGGTTCTTGATCTAGTTACCATTGTGGGCCACATTCAATACAATCTGTATGACCCTGAGAATGTCACATGGGCTCAGCTCTGAGCTGAGTGGGTTGCAATCTGAAAACCTGCTGCTCTAGATTTTGTCCCGTCCCTCTGGATGAGTCTAAGAGGATGTCTCTGCCCACACCCAAGAAAAAGCTGATCCTTAATGTTCCCAGCTTTGTCATAACGATGGTCCGTTCTGCAACTTTCCTTTAGTTTTCTCTGAACTGTAGTCCCCTCTCTCTGGTGTCTTAGTCCTGGTCTACACTAGGGAGTTATTTCAGAATAACTCCCCTTATTTTGAAATAACAAGCAAGGTCCAATCTACAAAACCTGTTATTTTGAAACAACCAGCCTGTTATTTCAAAATAAGAACTGCTTTCGACAAGGAATAATGCAAATTTTGAAATAGTTATTTCGAAATAGCGGTAGAGTGGGTGCTCTGCTGCTGTTTCGAAAGAACCACTCCCCAGAGTCATTCAAACTAGTTTCTCCTCAGTGCTTCCAGAGCCTCTAAGTTGAGGTAGCATGTCCACATTAATGGAGCCTGCCTCGGACGAATTTTGAGGCTTCCCCATAATGTGGACATGCTATTGTGAAAGTTATTTTGGGAGTGTAGACATGCCCTGGGTGAGATCACTGGACATCAGCTTGAGGCATGTCATTTAGAGAGGGGAATGCCTGCTTCGTTCCTCCTCATAAAATAAACTCTGGACTTCAAGATTTGTATTTAATCCTAATAAAGGGAAGTTTCCTAAGACAGGCCGTGTGATGAGTTGTCACAGATGCCTTTGAGACTGTCCCTTGATGGACTGATCATACCACTAAGCCCACCCTCCCTTTATCAATGAAAGAGGCATGCATGGCTGTTGTCCCTTCAGCCCCACAGGTAACAATAATTAACACTGGTTTTGTTGATAAGTTATTTCCTTAAGTATAAAACGTCGGATTTAAGTGGTTTCAAATTATGACAGGTCAAAGTTACTAAGCAAAATAAAACACACCAGCTAAGCTAGTTACATGCAGTTTCTTGCCTTAACAGTTGTTTTAATCCTCTTTTTTCACAAAGTAGGCAGCCACCTAGTTTGGGTCTGATTCTTCCTACTGTTCAGTCTGTTGTCCTCCGCAGTCATCTTGGTGGTAAGCAAAGGGTGTCTTGGTTTCTCCTGCTGGCCAGCTTCCCTGATGTCTCATGCCTGACCTATAAATAGATTTTGCCCCAAGGCAGGAATCCTTTGAATTCAGCTTCAACCCTTCCTCCACCGCCAGGGAAAAGTGCCATATTCAAAATGGGTTCCAGCATCAGGTGACTGGGCCAGCTGTTTTTGTAGGATTTACCATTGTCCAGGCGTACAGGGAAAGACTATTTACAGATGATTGTTTTGAATACTGTTAATGGCTTTCAGTAGCACATCTAGATAGATAAATGGGTTTATTCTTCCTATTTGTAATGTCACATGCAAGAATGATACATGCACACAAATAAAATATACGCATTCAGGGGACTGCAAACTGTCCAGTGATAGGTTAGATGTTCCAATTTGCGTAAGACATTGGTTCTGCTTATCCATATTCAAAACCATATTTCCATTAAAAATATGGGGGTGCAACATCACAGGCCATACTGGATCAGAGCAGTGGTCAATCTTGTCCAGTCTTTAGACAATGCCCAGTGCTAAATGCTTCAGAGGGAATGACTGGAACAAGGCAATTGAATGATCTAGCCTCTGTCAGTGTCAGTCCAGAACCTGGAGCATGGATCTGCACCCCAGGCCATCTTGGCTAATAGCCATGGATGGATTTATCGCCTGTAGGGAGAGATCCTGAAATATAAGCTTGATGGAATGGGAACTCTGCCAGTGTGTAAATGAGCACTGGGGTCTTCCACTTATGTGCATCCAGAAAATCTGAACGTGTTTAGGAATGAAAATTATACTAGAAAGCCCCAGGACTGCTGCTCAAGTGACCTTTACGCTCAAGTTTCCTTGGGTGCATGGAGCTTATTGAAAATACTGAGTGACCCTGGAGTCATGTGGTTCATCTGCAGGCAGTAAATTAGGGGTCACCTTGACTTTGCAACCTTCTGGTTAAGGATGTTAAAGCACGGTTATTTGGCTAATTGTGTAGTTGATACCCCTTGCTTGCCACAAATTGTGTCTTGGTTTCTCCTGCTGGCCAACTCCCCTATTGTTTCATTCCTGACCTATAAATAGATTTTGCCCCAAAGCAGGAATTTGTATCAAATACACGATTAGTTGATAAGGGGGCCGCTCTGTAGAGCCGCAGCGGGGGTAGCTCCTGGAGTCAGCTCAAGCCGGGACCAAGCAGTCCTGGCTCGCGCCGGCTCTGGACTGTTGCAGCTCTGCTTTTTTTTAATGTGGCAAGAGCCCCCCTACTGCACCCCCCCACCCCCGGCTCTTATATTTAAAATGCAGAGGCGCAGCGATCCCAGACGGGTGTGAGCTGGGACTGCTTGGTTCCGGCTCGCGCTGGTTCCAGGAACCATACGCACTGCAGTTCTGCATTTGAAATGTGCTTCGCTTACAGGGAACACGGGGTATGAGAACTTAAATTGATCTCAATATTTAAGGCTTTTTAATTTTTTTATTTTAAAAGTGTAAAACTGAATTTTGCCAAGCCGATTTAATCCATGGCCCCCTCTGCTTTTAATGCTGAGTGTGTTTAGAGACCATCACAAGGGATGCAGATAAACTCACATAGATCTATGGAGACGCAATGGTCTTGTTTGTCGTACTCTGACTTGATCTGAATGACATGGTCTGTCACTTTATCCAAACCAAGTGCCATCCTTGTGCTATGGGAAAACTACAAATTCACTTTTTTGTTGTTGTCGTTGCAAAATTTGAGTCTCTGTACAGTCCTCTGCTCTGTTAGCACATTTCTCATGAAGCCCGAATACCTTTCTAAGCTCAGGTCTCCGTAGTATTTTGGAGCCTGTGACGTGCATCTCCAACAAACAGCCCTTTCTCCATGAGTGTACATAACCTTCATAACTGTTAATGCAGCAAGGATTTAATGCTGTCTTGGCTGCAGCAAGGTGAGATTTGGATCTAACTAATGAACTTGAGTGAGAAACCAGTTTGGCTTGGTACTTGGGGTGTGCATAAAGCCAGCTTTGCCATCTCTGAGGATGAGCGCATGGTCATTTTGCAGAGGTGGGTAATCCGGGATGGAGCTACTAACTCATTTATGTTTGGGATTGTGGCTTCCTGCCATGTGCTAACATGTGGTGTGGATGCTGTGAACTCACCTGCACTAAAGAGTTAAAAGCGACCATTTGGTTTCAGCCAAACTGGGAGGGTTTGAAGTAGCCCTTGAGCTGATAACTTCAGTGAGAGCTAGAAGTGAAGTGGCCTATGAGTGACCCGTCCATAAAAGGAACCAGTAATGATCATGTCTCAATTGCTTCAGGGGGTAGCCACGTTAGTCTGTACAGGATAAACTTAAAAAACAAAAAACAACAAATGGTCTGGTAGCACTTTATAGACTAACAAAATGTGTCGATGGTATCATGAGCTTTTGTAGGCACAGCCACTTCTTCAGATGACTGGAGTTGGTCCTTGGATGCACCCTCCAGCCAGATCTCCACCTTGAAGGAAGTGACATAGGAGCAGGCTGCCCCACAGGAATCTGAATTGCTTTACAGATTTAGTGAATAACTGGTATGAGTGTGTCATTTTCAACAGCTCCAACGTTGGGTTTCATGCTGTTCCCCCAATGGCGAACCTCTTAGTTGTTCCCCCAGCCTCCCAAATTACTGACTGTTGATGCCTGTTTGCTCGGCAGGTGAGCCTTAAAGAACTAAACACTGAATCGCAGGGTTGATCTAAGCTCCTTTCATTTGTTCCCAGCTCCTCTTGCCCTGGAGACTGGAGTTTTCAGTGAAATGTGCAGCATCTAGTACTTGTGATCAGGCAGTAGAAGCCAGATGCTGCTGCAAGAACTTTTAGTTAGCATTCATGGTATCTGAAGTGGTCCCCATCCTCTTCTGACAGGTGTCCCCAAGACTAAAACTGCTTTCTGTGTCATGTCCCAGCTGTGTAGATCTCACTTGGCTGAATTATTCTGAATTGGGTCAGTAACGTTATCTTTATTTCTCTTACCTGATTGTAGGTGGATAACACTGATACTGGAGCTTACCCAAGCAAATT